ACTGTAGCTTGATACACACGTCCTTTCAGATTCAGGGATAAACCATTCTGACGCCATAGGCGTCTCAATTTCGCAAACGCGGCCCGAGCGTTGCAGATTCGTGCATTCACCTCATCTGTCACACTACGATCAGAACTAATACAACTTCCAAGGTATGTAAAACGCTCCACAACTTCCAGTACCTCTCCCTGGATCGTAAGGTCGTGTTCAGTGACTGCACGTCCACAAGCATGACCTTACACTTTGTGGGTGCAAAGTGCATATCAAAGGACGGGATGACTTTGGTCAGTTCATCCAAGAATACTTGCGCCTTCTCCGTCTCTTCGAACATGAGAACGATGTCGTCTGCATATTCCAGATCGACAAGGTTTTCTTCATTGGCTATTTGAACACCAGGGTTTTGGAGACCCTCCAGCTTTCGTCTCATTATTTCATCGATCACAAAGTTGAAAAGTAATGGAGAGAGTGGGCATCCCTGACGGACACCGCTTTGTGTGCGGAAGCTTTTGGAGAGCTCTCCGTACACTCTCACACGTCCGGAAGTCTGAGAATACAAAGAACGTATTGTGTTTTCAAACTTCTGGGGCATTCGTTGGTGGGCAAGCGTCTCAAGAAGAACAGACCAATCAACCGAGTCGAATGCGCCTCGGAAATCCAGGAATACTAGAATCGTGGGTCGCTTATACGTATGGCGTTGTTCTAGCACCTGACGCAGTGTGAAGATTTGGTCAACACAACCCCTACCAGACCGGAATCCTGCTTGCTGCTCTCGAGTCAGTATTTCACGAGCCACCGTAAGGCGACGAATCACAATTGACGCCAACAGTCTCGTTACAACCGGGGTCAAGCTGATCCCCCTGTGGTTACCACACTCACTACGCGCCCCTTTTTTGAAAATGGGCACTATCACCGATTCTCCCCAGTTGTCTGGGACAGACTCCTTTTCCCAAATGCAAGCAAACAGGTCGGACAGGCGCTGACTGAGGACTTCACCCCCGTCTTTGAACAGTGCAGGTGGAAGGTCATCCGGACCGGGAGCTCGGTGGCGCTTGAGAGAACATATGCAATCGTAAACCTCCGAGGCCGTAGGTGGTTCCACGTTCACCGTCCGGGGTTCTACTTCACCTGTGGGCTCTAGATGAATGCCGGCTGGTGGCCACGACAGTTGTTGTTCGAAGTATTCGGCCCACCGGCCAAGGCGTTTTTCCTTATTCGAAATGGTCGGGTAATTCATCTACTTACTATATCGGTTGCTTGTATGATAGGACTTGTTCAGATTTAGGCGACAGCCTAGTCTCGGATATCGACGCGGTATTATTGGGACATTTTCCACCGGCCAAGGCGTTTTTCCTTATTCGAAATGGTCGGGTAATTCATATACCTACTATATCGGTTGCTTGTATGATAGGACTTGTTCAGATTTAGGCGACAGCCTAGTCTCGGATATCGACGCGGTATTATTCGTTGGGACATTTTACGATTAAAATACCGATTGGTGGTAATACAGTCTTGGGGCAACGTACGACAATTCTATGTTCCTTAAGTTCTCGATGGTCATAATCATTTCGTTACTGCACAAGACTAGCTCTTCCTTGTCTGATGACCATTGTGTAAGTTCACCTAAATGAGAAAATTACCGGATTCTTACGACCTGGACGATAGAGGCTAATGATTATTAGACAGATTTATCGTACTGAGCTAGTGGATTGCACACCTAGGACGAACTGAAAAACTATCCCACCCTCACAAGGTCTGTTGAAGAACACCCGGGTACAAATGAAACTCCACTAAGCTAGTTGAGAAATTGCCCGACCGGGAAAGAATTCTAGATTCCCCCAAAGGTTGCTTCTCAAAAGAAATGGCACTTTACTGTCGAAATAGGCGTATTAGGTTGTTTTTGGATTTTGAAATCACTCAAAAACTGAGTTCGTGTCACGGAAGATCTCTCGATCGGAACTCTGAATTTTCCTGATGCATATGTTCTATCTCACTTCAAAAATTTGCTACATACGCCCGTGATGTTAAGACTCGCCTCTTGCCTTCAAGGGTAAACAAAATTATCAGGAAAGTCAGCTTCCTGAAAGCAACCACTGAATGCCCGAAATCTACCGAGACTCTCAGGTCCGCTAGATGTTAACCAGATAGACAACGCCCCCTCAATATGCAGCGCGTCACGGCCTTGTATCAAACCCAGACAGCGCGAGTCAGCGTTGCTCAAGGTCAGACAATGCCCCCGCAATATGCAGCACGTCGCAGCCAGACCGTGTGCGTCAGCATTGGACCAAGTTCAGACAGTGTCCTTCCAATAAAGAGCTTGAGGCCGTTGTACTTTTCGCACTCGCACGCACTCGCGCTCTCGCAACCACTTTGTTGGAATATAGCTATTGTGTTCCCTTCCGTGGGCCTTTTTCTCTCTGACACTAGGCACTGGAGCAGGTCGGCAGCAGATACCACAGGCCGGCGAATCAGCAGATATAACAAAAATATGTGCGAAAGATGCTAATAATACAGCAGACTTTCTATTAGAAGATGGGCAAATGGGGCAACGGGTTTCAAAACTTGAAACGTAACTTAAAACTTCATTCTTATCATAAACAAAGCTGCTCCCCAGATTGCTGAAAACTCTTCAGCAACCTTGTGCATAGTCTCCTTTATGAGAATATATTGTGATATCTCGGATATCCTACCAACTGAAACATGAAGCAGCACAAATCTCTAAAGTTTGCAACGCACAACAAATTGGACCTATTTTAGACCGATTGAACCCATGTTATAGCCTTCCGAACTGCTAGTGTTTGTGAAACTTTCCGAAAAACCCTACACTAAGTAAGAACATTTAGAAGCTTTCATTCAACGGGTTTTTCCGCCCTGAAAGACTGCTCTCTTGTTCTGTGATTCTGAAGTGGGACGCGTCAAACTATCTTGCACGCTAGCTTTTTCACTGCAGCATTATATTTATCTTGTCTTAATAAGTTGTAATCACCATTGCTTTTCACCTTGTAAAAACATGCCGACCAGGGTCATATTGTAGCAAACCAGTATTTATTCCTCGTGTATCAGTATTTTATATGCTTTCCTTGATAATACGATATCTGTGAGACGTTTCCAAGGCGGGTCCAGCAGCAGGTTTGAAAGTGGTGGAGTGTGGATTCGAGTCTAAGTTTTTGAAACAGGCCACCAGCGTTTTCCACTGGGTTCGGATTGTGAACATACCTGATGCTCATAATGACTGGAGCCTCCTGTATGTACAACGAACCAACACGATGTTCACTTTTTTCACCAACCAGTTCCACCTCATCCCTGATGCATGGCTTCACAAGTTCTTTTTTATTACTCCTGAATCCTCATGTCGCCGCGTATTCTAGACTGAACTTGGCTCTGGCGGTGCTGATATACCTAAACAAGGAAAGCAGAGTTTTTCCATCTTGTACGTATTTTGTGTATGGGTTGTCTTTTTTCATCACATTACACTACGGCCTTAACTCCTTGTAGCCAGTCTCACACCGGTTCAATCAATCCACCTGATTGTTTCCCTCTTCTCTGTTCTGTTTCGTGGTTTGCCTGAGGTAAGAAAAATCTAATACGTAACTGTTCGCCACTACTTTTCAGGCAAACGGAGACCCTCCTGCCATCACAAACGGTCCAACCACTTCCTTTAACCTTCCAACAAATTCGACCCAACGCCAAAGGTCAGTCAGGTTATAAATCTCGATGTCTTTGCCTAACTTGGGTATGCCATTCAGCCTCTCTATCCCAGTTTCACTTGCTAAATGATCGTTGCGTACAGTTCTTGAAGCAGGTAACTGGAGCAGTGAGACTCTTTCCGATGGTTGTGGATTCAAACGCCGCTTCATTTCGCCGGTACTGGTTGCTCTAACCTCGCAATCTCTACTGATTTTAATCTTTCGCGCGTATGTAGCCATTTTCCACTCGATTTAACTCTATTGAGCTGTTTGTGTCGCTTGCGTGGAGTTTCCGCAAACTCAGTTGTTTTTGACGTTTTTTCGGAAGGCTACGTTCACAGTTGAACTTAGAGGGGCAGATGTGATGTCGAGCCGATGTCAATGACGTTATTTTTGTCATTTTCCATCTAGGTCGCCTGACATGATGTTGCGAGGTGTCGTGGCGTGTTCATATGGAAATGAGGCATCGTTGATTTGCAGTTGCGTCGCTGACCATATTGCTGACTATGCGCACTTTTTTGCGTCACTTTTAAATCGTTCGAACATTGTTTACATTAAGAGTTTTCAGCATTATTGTTCCCATAGTTGGATCTTGTTTAGCTTGTTTGAATTAACTTTGTTTCACCCGCTTGCTTTGGGGGCTAGCCTAGTCAGGGAACAAATTCTTCTTCCAAAATTACCTATGGGTGGTTATTTGGTATGTAATATGTTTGAAATTTTTTACTCTGCATATTCGAATAACTCGAGCGGTTGATGTGGGGCTAAACGTGCTGCTTTATGTGCACTAGTGCGTCTAATGGGAATTCGGACAAATAGGAACAATGAAAAACTGCGCGAAGGCTCGTTGGGAACCGACACTATTTCATGATTTCCTTAGATCTGGCAGCTGGTCTCCATATATATATATATATA